ATTTAGAAGCGATGATAACTTGTTGATAGTTTAAGGGATGTTTTGATTGATAGGAACATAGATGGGACAGTGTAACTGAATAACAGTATAACTGGATAAGCAACATCCACCGGCCAGTATAAACACATTTTGAAGTAAAACGCGATCGGGCAAAGTATTTCAAAGACAGGAGTAGAGCAGTCTCCTGAAACTAATAATAATTTAGTGGGTAACTAAATTTGTCTTTGAATTAAGACTGAAAGTAAACGGCATATTGGTAGACTAAGTGATTATCATTATTCATGTACGTTAGAATAAGTCTATCCGAGTACTATTTCACTAATAATTCTGTCTTTTGAATAACTTAGTAACATGGCGTTTACTTCTAGTTTTGAATTACTAAGTAAAGGTTGATATCCCTAAGGGTTTCTTGATAAAAAGATTAAATTATCGCCAAAGTAAGTTTATATGTTCATATCTAGAGAATACTTAGATTTGGAGTTGTTTTTTCTACTACCACAACACCATCTGACTCACCAATTACAGTCACAAAGTTGAACTAGATCTGCTAAAGACAGTGTGCTCCTGACTTCTAGATATCGTAGTGCACCGTGAAGAAAGAACTACATCCATACATAGGTTCATAAGATTAGACGTATGATATCAATTCGAAACTAGGTAACTACGATTCGCAGCTACAGAACACACCACGTTACAATCCCAACCGAAAGCTGCTACCTTGACGTGGTGGTCGGGCTTGAACACCGCAATGACCCAACAAGCTATACAGGCTGGAACTTATGTTCCTGCAGGTCCTACCATGCCAGAAAGGTTGTTTGGATAGCGGTTAGACTAAAAGCAGTAATCCAGTCCAATCCTATGACTTCAAATAAATCACAAAATATCATGCCGGATCGGTCGGGGCCCGGATTAACAACGACCGCGCTTCCTGCTGCCGTGTCACAGGGCAGAAGTGATAAATACGCTACTGAGACACATCAAATGAAAAAGAACAAACAAAAACAGGCCGTGTGTGACCGGCCTCAAGCAGTTGTCCCCTGGGCTCTGCGGTCACGCAACCCACTTCCACGGTGTGGGCAGCCGGCAAGTAACAATCGCCCTCATAATCCGAAGTGCACGCGAAACCTCTCTAATCCTCACTCACCTTTGTCTTTATCTTCCTCTCTATTATCTTGCCTTCCTTCTACTAATACAACTCCTCTACTTAATGGCTCTTCACTCTGTGTGCACTGAAAACGACGGAAGCCGAAAAAAAACCACGTTATAATCTATTTCTTTAATTGTGTTAAACAATATGACGCCAGCTTAGACTAGAGAAGGAACAGTACTGGTTTTCAGAAAATCCATGTAAAGTGTTCCTTAATATTATGTACATTCCGTAATTATAGACAAACTAGGAAACGCACCAAGTCATTACATATATACGAACAATAATGGACGGTACAACGGAGGGTCAATTTAAAGGAATGCCTTCTCGATGTGGCCCACAGTTCACGTGAATTAACACATGCCTACATTTCTGCAGGTGTGTGTGTAAGGTATCTCATTTCGCCAGCCTTTCGTCTAAATGACTCAATGGGACGCTTCCATATTTAACAGATGCTCATTCCACGAATTCCACATGTACCTGCAGCTGGGATGTGGTGCTGTGTTACACTAGAGTTCCTCAGTTTACAGGTAGATCACACATTTAGTGATATCAGCATTACCGTTTTCAGTTGAAAAAGTAATTCGACTGTGTCACAGATGCTTTTGGCTGGATTCCTCGGTACCAAGTATTGTTCCCTATGAGAGTGCATCGAAGAAACCCTGCAAGGAGATATTGCAGCTTCGCCGAAAATTCAATAGAAGCATTTCACTTATGCAAGATGTATACAGTAATGAATGCACTATAAACTCAATGCACTCAGCCCTACATTACCCTATAAAATTTTCTTGTTTGGAAGTGAAACATGCGTATATATATATATATATATATATATATATATATATAGTGTCAGTAGCTTCTGTCTGGATTCAACATAGAACTTGGCACCGAAGTGCAGCAGTTCAAGTTGCCACCTTCCAAATAGCACACAAAGGTAAAAAAGAAGATGAGTGAAGAGAATCAATAGAGTTTTGACAAGTATAAGAGTGAAACAGAATGAGTAATGGTAGAAAGGAATGTGAAAGATTACAGAGACTGGATACATCTGCGTAAGCCATTGACAACGATTTTGAGCCATGTCACCTATTGTCTCCAGCCATTGATTCTTAGAGTCCCAAGGGCCCCAACCCGGAAGTCTGCATCTCCCTACCTGACTCAGTTTACCAGTCAGGGATTTCATGTATTGATGAGGCCATGTTTTTGTTTGGCCACCACTTACTCTTCTCCAACCTGCACCTATATCAGCTAGTAATGCCCGTCGGGGGAGGCGATGGTTAGGCATGTGCAGCACGTGACCTAGCCATCTCAATCTATGTAACTTTATAGCCTCTTCGATTGATTTTCCCTCTTTATCCAACACTCTACGCCTAACGTCAACATTACTCACCTTATTATGCCACCTAACGTGAGAAAGAGATCGTAGACATCTACGATCAAAAACAGTCAACCTTTTCATGTCTTCAACTCGTATTGGCCATGTTTCAGAGCCATAGAGAAGGACGGAGCGAACTTCTGAGCAGTACACAAGTCCCTTGGTTGATAGCCGGATGTCACGCCTACATCAGAGATGGTGTAAGCTAGCGAAAGCAGCTCGACCTTTTTGGATCCGTGCTGAGTCAGTAGCTTCAGATACACATTAACATCTGAATTTCATACGCCTTCTGCCTCACTACTCCGTATAATATTAGTTTGATAGCTTTTTACGAATGCAGTGAAAAGTATTTCATAGACCACGAGTAGCACTTTGTATTCAGCAGAGGTATGGGCACTTAGTGAAAGTAATTTCGATAACTAATACGATGAGGTTAGCTTTCTTCTTTGATATACGCACCTATCAAAGGAATGAAAAGATAATGACGAATTGTTATCACAAGCATTGTATTTACTATGTAGAGGCAAACTTCACAGTAACATGTACAAGTCTTGCATGTCATTGCATCAGTAATACAAGCGTACTAATTGTACTACGGCCCGAATTGAATAATCTCAAGGCTTCATACCAGCAACTGTGTGGGAGGTGGATGTATTGAAAGACTGCTTGCAGACACTATGTATGACGACATCTAGTAGAATGTCTACGAAGACTGACAACCTGCAATGAGGAAGACAAAAATGAAACAATTAGGAGACACATAATGCATAAGTATTTTTGACAAAGTATAAAACTTGGGCACTGTAGTAGAGTATAACTCCATTATGGATAAGATTTTATTTTGATAAATCACACAGTGTTGTACAGTAATATTATATGATGACGTTTTGAGCACAAATTATTGCTCATGATTATATCAAGTCACTCACACAACTTTTTGCTTCATTCATATACATGAGTATTTTAGTTAAGCGTACTACAGGCATAAAAAATCACCCATCTCATTCACTTCTATTCACACTATTTCTTATGTCCGTGTTACTGACTTTTGATTTATGTTTTCTTCTTCGGTGCACTATATTTGTAGGATTTAAGGAATTGGGAAAATGCATAGAGTACTTAGGAAACGGCATTAATAATTGTTTAAGCCAATTAACACTGGAGTGAGTTGTGACACTAGGCAGCTGCAGCGACAAATGCTGACTTAGTCTTAACATAGAACTCAGCACAGAAGTGCAGCACTTCGATTTGTTACATTCCACACTTGAAAAATATTATATTTAGTTGGTAATAAGCAAAACATATTTCCTCAATGTTTTTCCAATTCGTATTTGAGATAAAATAGACTAACTCATGAGATATAACGAAACAGACTGTGAGTTATCTCGGGTAGGAGGAGAAATTATTGTAAGATAACTGTTTTTTCAGTTAAACAAGAACCAAATGAAAGACATTTCGGTGATTATTATCCACTTTTTAACATCTCTTTATACCTAGACTATATGTCAAAGATATCAAAGCAAGAATCGGAAAAGCAAGACAAGCTTTCACTACTCTCAAGTCTGTGTGGAGGTCAACAGCACTCACCATCAAAAATAAGATCCGGATTTTCAACTCCAATGTGAAGTCAGTCAAAGCTACTATACGGATCAGAGACTTGGCCAGCACATCATAAGAGCATCTAAAACAAACTACATACCTTCATCAACAGTTGTCTTCGCTCAATACTCAAGATCAGATGGCCGGCCAGAAAACATCAGCAACAGAGATCTCTGGGAGTAAACCAACCAGGAACCGATTGTGAAACAAATATGCAGGAAGAGATGGAGATAGGTGAATTGGCCATACTCTGAGGAAACCATCAAGTGACATCACTAGACAAGCCATTGCTCGAGTGGAGCCCGGCCGAAAGGGAAGCGGCGAGTTGGTTGTCAGTGTAAGAGTGACTTGGAGGAGGTCATATGAAGAGGAGATGAAAACGTGTGGGCAAACTTGGAGCCAGGTGAAGACTGTAGCAGAGAACCGAATGCAATGGAAACGCGCGGCTGAAGCCCTATGTTCCTCTAGGAATTAACGGAAACATTAATCATAATATAATAATAGTAATACGCACACAAGTGCAGCTGTTCATGTTACCACATTCCATGTAGTACACATAGGTAGAGAAGAAGGAAATCAAACGGAAGTCTAATGAGTACAAAAATGTGAGGGAGAACGGATAGCGATAAGAATGAAATATATAAGGGTTGATTAGATACGTGAGATCACACACAAAGGGAATGCATCTGTGTCATTGACAATGATTTGAAGTCACATCTCTACCTGACATTATACGTTTAACCCCAATATTACTCACCATATTAGACTACTTAACCCAGGAAAAAGGGCACAGACAGCTACGATCGAACACCAATAGTATTTTCACGTCTTCCAAATTCAATGGTCATTAAAGTGACCTAGGTGGAAAATTTCATCACCATACACTCAGTAGACGAGACTGTCCCCTGGTACGTAAGTCCCTGAAGTCAATGACGGACAACTCTATTGATACATTCATGATGAAATAGGGGACGACAGTTGTTGATATAAGCCTTGAATTACATCCTCCTTGGAAATGTGACTTCCCTCATAGTTTACTTTCAGTACTCAGTGAATAAAATAGAATGCAATCTGTACGATTCATGAAGTTCACAAAATGACGTACTGCCTTCACAAAACAACCCAGTTTATGTTTCCTCAGTAAGGTAAGAAATGGGCATTGTGGTTGTGTAAATTCAATAGATTGTGAACTGCTAGCAGGCCCAAGTTGAATGTCGTCGGCACACATCTGTAATGAAGAGGAGAGAGGGAAGCAGTTCAATACGCGTCAATAACCATTAAGTGCATAAAAACAGGCAATACTTTTTGATTAAAACCTACCTCTTCTGGTGATAAATCCAATTTCTTCCTTAGCCGCTGATCATGGCACCAGTTTTTAGTGGCTTTGACTATCGAATCGATTGTGTCCTCCTCTGTGGAACCAAGTTGTATTTGTTTACGAGTGATGACATCTGAATTTCATTTAAGTATAAAATAATCTCATTCCAAAAAGTCGACATACCAATAATTATAAGCTGGAAAAATGTGAAATCTCGGATACCAGTCTTTTCCGAAGTACCCTTATATGACATTAATCTTGCTAAGTTTTTAGAGATGACTGCGCTCAGCAATCGGCGCGTAGATGTGGTGACGTTATTCTGCACCTTAAATGACAGTTGGCACATCTGAAACGAATCAATTAAACAAGCTTGGTTGAAATTACTTACTATATCCTCGAAATACTTTCGGTTTTTTAGTTTTCGTTCGAAAATTTCTAGCATCGCAAACGATTTAACAGGCAGCTTCACATCACATTCACCACCCTCATCAGTTTGGCCGTCATCGGTAGTGGCCAACGCGAGGTCGACACGCTCAATTAATTTCGAGATTTTATCAACTACTACTTCAACGCAAGCTGTGTTAAATAGTTATAGGATAAACAGAAAATAAGATGGAACTGCACCTGTTAGTTTATTAATGGAATCCTTCATTTCATGGAGAAGCTTATTATCCCTGGGTGACCTGAGAAAGAATGCTGTTAAGTTTGGTGTCACTTACATTACAGGTGTACCACAGTAGCGGCAACTATGTGTGACCCACTCCTCGACATGAATCCAAAACTGCATCATCATAATGTTAGGTTGAATATCTGTCATACCTGGTATTCTTTTTCGAAGCAGGTGCAGTACTATCAAGGTCGGCGTAATCGGGGTCCTCGAAGACATCACACACTGCTTGTCCATCAGGTCAGATGGGTAGTCTTCACTGACAAAAATGTCATTTTTCGGTGCGCTAATTAGTGATTCAATTATAAAATGATGCTTACTTTATTTGACGCTTCTGGATGCAAACTGCAGTAGATCTCGATGACTGACTGCAATTAGTTACACTGTACGTTCGTTGTAAAGCTTTGTGCTTTGCAAGAGCTTCTTGCAAGTCATCTGAAGAAATAGTTGAGTAGCGAAAGGGCTAACCTGTTTCAAAAATAACTTCACACTGTTCCATCTTCCAATCAATCTTCGGGTACTCCTCCTCATAGGCAGTCTCCCAATTTTCCTCACTGCACACCACAAGCATGGGGCCAAGGAACCAAGAGCTCCGGCATATGACGGCCTCATTTCTTCCATCAATCAAAGCAATACGGTATTTGCCCATTTATTCAGAAAGGAAAGGTACATTAGGGAATGAAGAAGAAATTACCATAAAAAGGCCCCACTTAAAGTAAGAGAAGTGTAAACTCAAGCTGATATGCTTGCAACCTCAACCCACTTTGTCGATCATGTCGGCTCTTACCTATTGACTCGCATGAACTGCAACTGACGCCAATGAAACAACACGAATTAACAATGGCAACAACTCATTTGGCCGATGTGTGAGGCATTGAGATGAAAACGTTGAAGTGATTCGTGGGTATTGCAACACATTTATATTTAATTGCATTAATTGCAACCCATTCAGTGCCGCCTGAGAACTGGACTGATTTGTATGTATCAAGCTTCGTAGAATCGAAAAGCTTTTTAAAAATGGCTCCTTACCCAAACAAGATCTGTATATAAAGGCATTTTTCAATAAGCTTTTCGATTCTACGAAGCTTGATACATACAAATCAGTCCAGTTCTCAGGCGGCACTGAATGGGTTGCAATTAATGCAATTAAGTATAAATGTGTTGCAATACCCACGAATCACTTCAACGTTTTCATCTCAATGCCTCACACATCGGCCAAATGAGTTGTTGCCATTGTTAATTCGTGTTGTTTCATTGGCGTCAGTTGCAGTTAATGCGAGTCATAGGTAAGAGCCGACATGATCGACAAAGTGGGTTGAGGTTGCAAGCATATCAGCTTGAGTTTACACTTCTCTTACTTTAAGTGGGGCCTTTTTATGGTAATTTCTTCTTCATTCCCTAATGTACCTTTCCTTTCTGAATAAATGGGCAAATACCGTATTGCTTTGATTGATGGAAGAAATGAGGCCGTCATATGCCGGAGCTCTTGGTTCCTTGGCCCCAAGCTTGTGGTGTGCAGTGAGGAAAATTGGGAGACTGCCTATGAGGAGGAGTACCCGAAGATTGATTGGAAGATGGAACAGTGTGAAGTTATTTTTGAAACAGGTTAGCCCTTTCGCTACTCAACTATTTCTTCAGATGACTTGCAAGAAGCTCTTGCAAAGCACAAAGCTTTACAACGAACGTACAGTGTAACTAATTGCAGTCAGTCATCGAGATCTACTGCAGTTTGCATCCAGAAGCGTCAAATAAAGTAAGCATCATTTTATAATTGAATCACTAATTAGCGCACCGAAAAATGACATTTTTGTCAGTGAAGACTATCCATCTGACCTGATGGACAAGCAGTGTGTGATGTCTTCGAGGACCCCGATTACGCCGACCTTGATAGTACTGCACCTGCTTCGAAAAAGAATACCAGGTATGACAGATATTCAACCTAACATTATAATGATGCAGTTTTGGATTCATGTCGAGGAGTGGGTCACACATAGTTGCCGCTACTGTGGTACACCTGTAATGTAAGTGACACCAAACTTAACAGCATTCTTTCTCAGGTCACCCAGGGATAATAAGCTTCTCCATGAAATGAAGGATTCCATTAATAAACTAACAGGTGCAGTTCCATCTTATTTTCTGTTTATCCTATAACTATTTAACACAGCTTGCGTTGAAGTAGTAGTTGATAAAATCTCGAAATTAATTGAGCGTGTCGACCTCGCGTTGGCCACTACCGATGACGGCCAAACTGATGAGGGTGGTGAATGCGATGTGAAGCTGCCTGTTAAATCGTTTGCGATGCTAGAAATTTTCGAACGAAAACTAAAAAACCGAAAGTATTTCGAGGATATAGTAAGTAATTTCAACCAAGCTTGTTTAATTGATTCGTTTCAGATGTGCCAACTGTCATTTAAGGTGCAGAATAACGTCACCACATCTACGCGCCGATTGCTGAGCGCAGTCATCTCTAAAAACTTAGCAAGATTAATGTCATATAAGGGTACTTCGGAAAAGACTGGTATCCGAGATTTCACATTTTTCCAGCTTATAATTATTGGTATGTCGACTTTTTGGAATGAGATTATTTTATACTTAAATGAAATTCAGATGTCATCACTCGTAAACAAATACAACTTGGTTCCACAGAGGAGGACACAATCGATTCGATAGTCAAAGCCACTAAAAACTGGTGCCATGATCAGCGGCTAAGGAAGAAATTGGATTTATCACCAGAAGAGGTAGGTTTTAATCAAAAAGTATTGCCTGTTTTTATGCACTTAATGGTTATTGACGCGTATTGAACTGCTTCCCTCTCTCCTCTTCATTACAGATGTGTGCCGACGACATTCAACTTGGGCCTGCTAGCAGTTCACAATCTATTGAATTTACACAACCACAATGCCCATTTCTTACCTTACTGAGGAAACATAAACTGGGTTGTTTTGTGAAGGCAGTACGTCATTTTGTGAACTTCATGAATCGTACAGATTGCATTCTATTTTATTCACTGAGTACTGAAAGTAAACTATGAGGGAAGTCACATTTCCAAGGAGGATGTAATACAAGGTTCGTTTCTACAACTGTCGTCCTTATTTCAGTTCCATGTCATAAAAAATGTATCAATAGAGTTGTTCGTCATTAAACCCAGAGACTTACCAGGGGTGCACGAGAATGAGTTGGTAATTGCGGCTAGAGATGTTAGACTTCACATAAACAAACGTGTTATAATGACTTAGATGAAATAGTCAGACTTTGTCTTCATGCAACTTCTCAATTATTAAATAGAAATTGTTTAATATTAAGGCTCATGAATTTCAGATGTGATTACGTACTAAGATATGTTTGCGCTACAAAAACGAAATCCCACAATTCTTCCCTTTTTTCCCATATATCCCATATTTTCCCACTTCTCCCATGTCGTTTTTGAAAATAGCCCACTTTCTCGCACTTTACTCCTGTTGCAAACGGAAAGTGTCCACGTTTTTACCCACATATCCCAGGTCCAAAAGAAGTAACCGACTTGGTAACATAAAATCTCCTTTCTAAGTGTATTACTGTAAAAGCCTACGCAGTTCAGAGATTAACTCAAGTTAATCTGTTATAATTATAACACTAAAGTGGAAAAGCTTCTATTGTTCCTCAGTGAACTTAATGTGGAGAGTCTTGTGAAGTAATCCCAGTGTTATTTATGCAGAAGAGAAGGCGAGGCATTCATAATCTCTTGCTTAATGTGGAATTGCTATGGAACTCGATGCGCAATAGTATTTATATTAATAAACTGAGAAATCACATTCCACAGGACTTATCTTTATATCAAAGAAGGTAATAAGTTTCTTTCACATACAAGCCTAAGTTTTGTTCATGAAATCGGAATATTGTAGAAATTGAACCTTCCTTCAAAATACAGACCACTTGATACACAAGTTCACAACAATGCTACATATTATTACCGTAGTGATTATGGTTTTCGCCTAAAAATGATAAGTTGACAGCGAAGTACAAGAATAGCGTCCCAGGAGCGCGAACGCTCAAATGACCTTGAACGCTTGCCAGTCGTTGGTTGAGGAAGCTTGCCATTATTCTGGCGCGAAAATGAACGCTGTTCATCCGCTCAGATGCAAATTTCGTCCAGATCACTTTTTCCAGTACTGTTTAGATAATTGATTGATAGGACGTACTCGGATATGTAGTTGTGGTGCTTCCATGAACCTCCAGCCGTATACCCAGGTCATTGACGGATATGTATTCGAATAAGTGTGCGTACTGGTAAGTGATACTCAGTTAATTGTCTTCTAGGAACTTTCTTTGAAAAGTCGAAACTGTCGCATTACTGCGTTTTAAAGTCCGGGTGCGATCAACTGCGGCTAAAGCAGATAATACGTTGACGTCTACTGTGCAGTGGTTCCAGTTTTGTCGAGATTTAGCGTCTTGGAAAATGAATGGTATTACTCAGGTGTTGGGAGGAGTCGATGTAGTCGTCCATGTCGATGAAACGGTTCTTATAAAGAAGAAGTACAATCGCGGACGAGCTAGAGCTAACAACGTTTGGGTTCTGGGAATTTACGACACCCAGATTCGCAAGAAATTCATCGAACTGACTCCAGATAGGAGTGCTGATACACTCCTCCCTATTTTTCAGAGGCTCGTCTTACCAGGCACCACCATTCACACGGATGAATGGGCAGGATATAACCGATTATCACAATTGGGATATATACATCATCGAGTCAACCATTAGGATAACTTCGTCGACCCCAGAACCGGTACTCATATCAATTCAATCGAAGGTTCCTGGGGAAGACCAAAAAATAGAATCAGAGCTATCAACGGATATCAAAACCAAGTTATTTTTAGTCATCTGGATGAATTTATGCATAGAAATCGGTTTAATTTAAAAACTGAAACCCCTCATTATAAATGGGAGATTTTTTGTCTCATATTGGACAAAAATACCCTGTTTAATGTTTTTTCTCACGCTTTTTTATGTAACCATACGTAAAATTTAATGCGAAATCCTCATTTTTCCTGATTGGTCGACTCAAGGTCACTCGTGCGTTCCCTTGGGACTTTATTGTAGAACTTTGTCCTTACCTACCTTATTTAGGCCCTCACATTGCGCTGATATCAGTATCAAGCGACATTGCCTGATACCAGTGCTGAAAATGTAAAGCAGTTCAAGTACATTATGCCACCGATATTATATGAGTCAGAAATGTTTTTTATTGCGAAATCGCATTTAAAAAGCATATAAAACCGTAACTTGTTACTACACCAACATAGTAACGGACACTGACTCTACAGTAATCGGGGACATGCAATAAAGCCACTCCTATAGGGGCGTTATAAGCGTTCACTTTTGTGAAAATAGAGTATATTTGACTAGTTTCAGGCTTCTGTGTCCGAAAAAGTCAATATTTACCTGTACTGTGTTCGTATTGATACGTAAAACCATCTTTATATCCCAGACGAATTATTACTAAAAGAAGTCATCCTTTTAAAGAAATTTTGCATAGAAACGACTATTATTTGCGTTTTAGAACCTTAAATCTTTGTTATTTGCTTGTTGTTGTTTTAGATCTTAGGTTGTAAACTGATCATAGGCAATGGTTGTTTTCATAGCAGTTATTCTGTGAGAATCGGGAATTTGAAAGAGAATTAGCCCACAGACATAAGTTAGATGTACGTTTTGGGGATGACAAATACTTATATTGTAATCCGTGATGACTGAAATATTACATAACGTATCCAGCAGATCATGCGATGAATGAGACAGGCTGTTGACTTTCCTGGTGATTATGTCCATTTTGATTAGGTTCCTGGTTAAAATTGTTCAGGCGAAGATGTGATGCTAGTTTAATTCGCATTGTCACATGGAATTTCGGAAGACTGTTATTCCTCAGTGCATAAGATGGTCTCAGATCACCTTGATATCAGTGTGCATTGTTGCAGGAAGAATACTATAGATGGTCCTTCGAAAGTGCCAGACTGCTTAAAATTAGTATCAGCTTTCTGTCGAACAGTAGCTAGCAGCTGTATCCTACCAATACTACACCTGTTACTTAAATCATATCAGTCCTAATAATTATTCATTTTCAGATGACTAAGATATTCTGAGACTATGAAGGATATGGAAGCTGCACTTATGACTCATATTTTTAAGCCATTTATTGTTAAACAAATTATCTGTAAGGATTTTGTGATGTTCAGGTTACAATCCCTCAGTATATGTAGTTACTGCATGCTATTGTGCGTGAAGGGACAGCTGATGAAAATGGAGATACAATCAAGTTTCCTATAGAATCAATGTGAATACTGCAAACTGTTGATAAGTAATTGCGTCAAAAGAAAAATTTCTGATCAGCTAGAAAATATTACTGCAGTTTCGATGATTATTACCTTTTAGATTTGTAAATCATCTTTCCAAAGTTCTAAATGACGCCAAAACATCAATGCTACCCCATGGGTACATAAATTCGTGAGAGATCTTACTGATTCTAAGCTTAAAGATCATTCAGTTCACCTGACACTGAAATATCAGTTATCAACCTCACTATAATCTTTTTATTTACGCACTATTACACCCCATTTTATCGTAACTGCTCGGACCTTTATTAAAGCTAAAACACTCCTTGTGCATATGATAAAAGTATATTCACATTTTTGTGCATGAGGGACGCCAGTTTACGGGCGTCATCAATTCGATAAATTGATATAAGAATAAAACTTGGGCACTGTGGTAGAGTGTAATTCCATTATGGGTAAATTTTATTTTGATAGTTTCACAGTGTTATACAGTAATATTTACTGATGACGTTTCGAGCACAATTTATTGCTCATAATCATATCAATTCGATAAATTACACACGATTAGTAAGTACAGCTAGTAATGATAATATAATAGGGTAAATATTTATTCCTACAATTGTAGGACACACAAGTTGTATAGGCATGGATAAATATTATTTAAGCGACATATTTAAATTACATGATTTACGGTTAAATAACATGGTTGCTGTCATTTCATCTTTAGTTTGTGGGAAAAATTGGATAACTGTTGATTCAATGGAACACATCAAGAAATATAGAGATATTGACTTTGCATTAACAAAAGAAACCCAAGTATTCGTTGGATGGATTACAGATACTTGGGAAAATAAATAAAGCTTGAAGTCAATTCCCTCATAAAACAATAAAATGCGTCTTACAATAGTATATTCCCACCTTATGGACATGAGGGACTCCAGTTGACAGGCATCATCAATATGATAATAATGCACACATGGAGTAGACATGTTTAAAATTTTTCACTAACACAAAATATATATACAAGGGAAGATAATGGAATATTGACCGTAATTACACTCTGCATAAGTTAAAAGTTTATATGGCATAATCCTAGGCACCATTATTGTTTGAATTTGTTGAAAATGAGCGAAACAACTGAGTGTTGCGTTACATTCGGTCGATATGGTGCTTGCTTAAATTCTGGTTGCTTGACTAGAAACACAACAACACTAATGTTTGAACAAAGCTACATTTTCACCGAAAACGCCATAGTTTCCATGCTTACACCGATATGATTAACATTGAACATTGTAAAGGTACATTATCGTTCCAAGGACTCTATAGCCGCTTAGCGTATTTATCTTGTAGGTGCACGTTCAACGACATATCATGCATAAATGTATTTTATGCCACTTGCAGTTTAACATAACGTTCTCCTTTTGATGGAATTGCTTTCAATCATTTGAGGGCGTAGCACTTACCCAACAACTTATGAAAAAGTATCAATTTGTGATACTTAACGGTTGTCATTTATAACATAACTGATAGTGCCTGTAAAAATGGCATGCATTTCTTGTAAACACCCTATAAGGCGACATTTAGAATTAATGTTATTTGCCTAGTGCCATGCTGTACAAGATGGACAATTTATGTAATCTAACACATACTTGGGTTTTTTTCTTAGTGTGGAGAAAATATTTCTATATTTCTTAATGTGCTCTATTGA